TGTGTTTCCTTTTTTGGTATTTTCATGCAAATTCTTCTGCTAGTTGGGATTTAGCCCACTTTTGTATCCTTCCTTTCAAGGCTCAGGGGTCCAAGATTATCTTCTGTGTCTGTGTTAATTGGTTTCCCTTTTCTTTGTTGAAGAGCATCTGTGCAGTCCTTCTGCCTAGTCCGCCATCTTGCCGGAACTCCTATTTCCATTTTTTAGATGAAGAAACTAGGGCTCCAGGGTAAGTGACTTCCCAAGGTCACACAGCTAGTCTGAGACTAGTCCAGTCTGGAGTCTGTGTGACTCCAAAGCCAGAGCTTCTACCCTTCTTCTATGCTAATGGAGGTAGACTGGGGAAGAAAGAAGGTTAACCCTTATTTGTTAAATACTGATTTATTTACTCTTACGGGATACTGAAAAACAACCCCAAGTGGAGCTGAGAATTTGCTACCAACATTGGCTTAGTTCTCAGTCCACGATAGAGCTTGAGTTATTACAATTCCTTTGAGGTTGATAAGAAAGGGTGGTAGTAAAGACGAGGACACAGATGAATAGGCAGCAGAATTAAATATTCCTCTGGAGTTTCACAGTCAATGCAATGTAAATGTGGCTCTTTGAAATAGAATCAAGAGTCAGTCCTACTGGCTGATCTTATCCAGAGGTGAAGAATTTGTAAATCGATTACCTTTACTTTGAAAAGATTTCACTCATAAAAATAACAGCAGAGAACAAAAGTTCACATGGGGGCTGGAAGATAACATTCCTTACCTCCTGTAGCACATTCTTTTCTATGCTCTTCCATTGTTTCTGGTTCCTCTTTGGCTTCCTTAAATCATAAAGATATTTTATTGCCATGCATAGAGAAGAAATTCTTCATAACCAATCATTGCCCTACTTCCTGTACTCTCTTAACCCCATTTTGACAAAAATGTTAGACACTCTACAGTATTTAAGGAACTGTACTAGGGATTAGGAAGAAAACAAGATCCATCCCAAGAGGGTTTCAATTTAGATGGAAAGAAAGAAAAGAAAGAACATAAATATGTGAAAAGTGGCAAAAATGACTCAAATTACGACAAAATGATAAGGATCTTTATATAGTAGCTAACTTTCATGAGAACTATGCAAAACACTTTTCTAAGTGCTTCATATATATTAATGTATTTGATCAAAGATATGAAATACAGATAAGTAAGCACTCTAAATATGGAGGAGAGAAACCCTATAGCTTCAGTAGCATGGACAGACTCTACAGACAAGAAACTTGAGTTTGCACATGATAGAGGGGTAAGATTATATGGATGGAAAGTTGGGTGGATCTAGCACTGTCATATGTGGCTTTCTATATGGGTTGTTGAGAAAATTATTGCAAAAATAGCTGCTAAGATTGTGTTATGTTAGTCTTTTACTCCATACAATTACATTTTAAATTCACTGTAGGAGTCCCTGGGTAGGGCAAATGGTTAACACACTTAGCTGCTAACCAAAAGATTGGAGATTTGAGTCCACCTACGTCAGAAGAAAGGCCTAGAGAACTACATCCCCAAAAAATCAGCGCTTGTGGAGAACTGCAGTCAATGTCATGAGACAAAATGTGTATGAACTGCTGTATGGAAAATGAATTTGCTCTGTAAACTTTCACCCAAATCATAATAAAAATTAAAAAAAAAAAAAAAACCAGCCATTGAAGAAAACCCTAAGGAGCACAGTTCTACTTTGACACTCATGGAGTTGCCATGAATCAGAATTGGCACAATGGTATCTTTTTTCTTTTGCTAGTGGGATGAAGAGTGTTTCCCTGCAAAATTTATGTCCAGTTGGCATCTGTGAATGTGATCTTATTTGGAAATAGGGTTTTTACAGATGTAATTGAGTTATGATGAGGTCAATACTGGAATAGGGTGGGCCTTAAATCCAAAGATGGTTCTTATAAAGAGATACAGACACACAGAAGGATAAATGCCATATGAAAACACAGGCAGAGATTGAAGGAATGAGTCTAACAAGCTAAGAAACGCCAGTGATTCCTTACAACCACCAGAAACTCCTTAGTACCACATCCAATAAATAATTTTCAGTTTTCATCTTACTTTTATCAATTAATCCCTATTTCTTGATTTTCCCCCTTTGTTTTCCCCCTCCTCATAAACCCCCCCATTACTCCAATAAAACCTTCTCAGTCTCTTCTTCTTTTTCCTTGTCTTATTAGATTCTGTTCATCAAGATTCCATTATTCTCAGTGCTCTTTTGTTCTCAGCAAAAGTCCTTAGGAAATCTCGTCCATACACTTGGTTCTTTACCGATAAATGTCAAATGTCAGTCTGTATGTAAAAGCCTTGTGGGTGAGGTTATAAATGTAGTTATAGACAAAAATCTCCTTACAGACTATTGGTATTCCATATCAGTCTGAAAAGTGATTTGCCTCAACTTATGTTAGCCCACAGATTCTCCTCTTCTCCTCCCCTCATGTTATTCTATTCATTTTGTGAGCAAAGTCATAAACCTGGTAATTTACCTTTTCCCACATCCTGCAATGAGTCACCATATATTGTGAATTCTACTACCCAAATATCTCTCAAATTAGTCATCTTCTCTCCTTCCTCACTTAATTCAGACCACTTTCTTCTCTTGCCTGAATTATTACAATAGCATCCTAACCCGTCTCCTTGCCTCCATTTAACTGTCTTTCTAATTCATTATTTTTAAAAGTATCTTCATTTATTTATCATATGTTTTTGAGACAAGAAGGAACTATTTTTTTCTCACATGACTCTACCATGAAAGACTAGAAGATTTGAGTGTTACTCTGTCCATTATTTGTTGAGAACCTCTACTTTCAGCATGTATGGTAGCCAACAATCCCCTATCTATAGTTCATGCTGCACTCAAAACTGTCATTCCAAATCATATGTCAAATCATACCTCTGTCTTCAGACTAGAATGCTGATCTGTAATTTTTTTTCTCTACTGCCCCAAACGTATCATGCCAAAACCTTCTCTTGACTTGAATTTGTTTTTTCTCCTTATAATCAAAATACATTTTTCTAGATAAAACAGTGCTTATATATCGAGGAGGAAACAATAACACATAGGAGCTCTGGTGGCATAGTGCTTAAGGCTAAGGCATTTGATTGCTAACTAGAAGGCTGATGGTTCAAACCCACCAGCCACTCCTCGGAAGGAAGGTTGGGCAATCTACTTCCGTAGCTAAAACAATGCTTGTCTATTGAGGAGAAAACAATAATATACATACACACACACAAAACCCAACACATATGATAGAGAAAGGGACAGATAAATAAGACTTCTGATGACACAGAATGGAGTTGGATCCAGAGTCTACAAGTTACTCTTCAGTAATTAATTCATAATAGTAGCAATGAATCTTCTTTTCTATAAAAACAAATTTAACTCCTTTTCTATAAATAGTTTAATAGTTATTCTTACAATGTTTTATAAAAGTGTGCTACACATCTATATATGATTCAGTTAGGATTTAATGGGGTCATATCTACTCCTAATTAAGTATTTACTGCTCTCTTTTTATATGACAGGTACTGTACTAGTTGCTGAGTTCTAGCAGTGAATAAGGCAAAAAATAATCTTTGTTTTTATAGGACTGTGTTATAGTCTACCAGGTAAGGCAAACATTAAACAAGAAAATTTGTGCCAGGGGACCTTTGTAGAATCTAGCCTCCCAAGCCTCCTCTTTCTCCTGTGGAGCAGCTAATGGATTCGAACGGCCAACTTTTAGTTCGTAACTGAGTGCTTAAGCACTGTGTCCTTACTTTTTACTGACTGACTTGAAAAAAGAAACAAATCATTATTTGTTTGGAGGAAATACATTATTTGATTGGAGAAAGCCTCCAATCTTTGAATTTTACCCAAAATATAGCTATAATCAAGCTAAACAGTATTATGATAGGGAATATATGGGATGCTATGGAAGTATCACCTCGGAAACTCAAGCAGGGGTCACTATGAGTCGGGTCCGACTGAACGGCAAAAAACAACAACACAACAACATGGAAATATGTAGGGGGTGAGTGGGCATAATCTAGTGATTGATCAGGGAAAGTCTTGTCAACTTCTATAATAGAAAGACCACTAAACCAACCAAATCTGATGGTATTATTTTCCTTGCTAAATTCTCCCAGTCCTTGTTAAAAGGACAGAGCTTGTGGGGGAAAAATCCATGTATTTTAACATGGTTTAATAGGTTCTTCATTCTCCAGTTCCTGCTTAATATTTTCACCTTTTCCACTACTTCTCTACATAAAAACAACAACAGTATCTAGCACTTATTTACACTTACTCTAAGCATTTTAGATATATTAATTCATTGAATCTTCCCAATAATCCTTCAAGTAGACACAGTTACAATCCTCATTTTAGAAATGAGGAAACTCAAGTATAGATAAATTAAGTCACTTTCTCCAAATCACACAGTTTATAAGGAGAGGAACTAGGATATGAACCATAGATTCTAGAGTCCACTTTTGACTCTTATATTACACTATCTCAAAATGTACTGTTTCCCTCAATCAGGACAAATTACTTGGCCTTCCCTAAGAGTACTCATGGAGCTCTGGTGGTGTAGTGCCTAAGGCCTTTGACTGCTAACCAGAAGGCTGGAGGTTCAAACCCACCAGCCACTCCTTAGAAGGAAGGTTGGGCATCTATTTCTGTAGTGATACCACCTCGGAAACCCAAGGAGGGGTCACTATGAGTCAGATCTGACTCAATGGCCGTGAGTGAGAAGAGTACTCATGCTGTGTGTTTACTCTCAGCCTCCACACATGCTGTTCCCCTGGCCTGGAACACATCTTTCACTTGGTATCTTCTCCATGATGCCTTCTGTGGTCTCCTACCCCAAGCATTTTTCTTTCATATCACTAATTACACTCTAATTATTGAGTAATTGTCTGTTTTTCTACCTAATTAAAATATAACTTCTAGATACCACTGTTTTATTCAACTTTATTTATTAATACATTCATTTATTTAAGCCACCCTCTGTTGATAGGTATTTAGCCTGTTTCCAGGTGACATTTGATGAATAAATGAGTAAGTGAATGAATGAATGAAAAATCAATATGGAGTCTGGAGATTCTAGCTCTGACTCTATTGTGTGAACTTAGACAAATCACAAAGACACTTTGGCTTCAATTTCTTCATCTATAAAAATATTGCTATAATTTTATTCTATTGATCTCATAATATTTTAAAAGAATAAAGTGAGATCATGTTTTTGAGGGTATTTTGCAAACATAATGGGACAGTTCTACCATTTTAATATATCATCACTCTTACTATTAAGATATGTATATTTTCTTACCAGTTTTAATATGGCTTTGTCCTCACTTGTAGAGCCTTGGAGGGGAATATTGCCATGAGATGGACTGCTGCCTGCAATAGAAAGGACACATACTAACAGTTGGGGATAACAAAAAAACAAAAACAAGCTAAACGCACTGCCATCAATTCCATTCTGACTCATACTGACCCTAAAGGATGAGTAGAACTGCCCCATAGGGTTTCCAAGGCTGTAAATCTTTGTGAAAGTAAACTGCTTCATCTTTCTTCCTCACAGAGCAGCTGGTGGGTTCAAACCACTGACCTATGGTTAGCAACCGAATGCCTTAATTACTGCACCACCAGAGCTCCTCTGTTGGGGGAGCAATAGCAAGTAAAAGAGGAAGAAATAAAAAGAATGCCAGTATGTGCAGATCAGTAAGAGTAAAGGTCTTAACATGTGAAACAACTAATATGCCACAAAAATTCAAATGTGCCTGTGGTCTCAGAATCAGGGAGACAGGGGCTTAATTTCACCTAGAGCATGTAAAATTTCTTAATAGAAATGAACATCTTATAAATAGCCTTCAAATAGAAGTTTTTTTTTTTTTTTTAACCTGATTCTGATTATTTTATCAAATACATTACTGGTATAATAATAGAAACTGGGTGAAGGAAGGATGTAGTAGCTTTTTACACCTTGAAATATATGTTTTTCAAAAATTACTTATGTAAGGCTGATAACAAAATATGGTATCCTTCTTACAACATGACATCTTTTTAAATACAATATCATTAAATTAAGAAAAAAAATCCACTTTTAATTTATGCAATTTCCCATTATTTCCCATAACCTCCCATTATTTTTGTGTACTTTATTTAGACTGTGGTGTACCTAATAATAATTTGCCTCTTCACATGAGCTATTGAATTAAGTTCAGCAGCTACAGACAGACTGTTTCTTTTTAAGAGAAAAATATTTAAAGTATTATTGTTTATAAAGTTATATAGAAAAAAGAGCAAAATGGTAGTCAGTTTTTTCAAGGATTTACAATTTTTCCCCATAGAAATTTTAGTTCAATTTTTTAAAATTAAATTTTAAGGCAGGTAGTAGATTTATATGGTCCATAAATAAAGAAAAGTACAATATTATAAATTAAACATTTTTCCTCCCATCTCTGTTTTCCAGACAGTTTCTCTCCATGTGGAAACATTAATAATTTTATCCTTCTTTTAACAAAATTTTACATGCTATACAAAATGTTCTGTATTTTTCTTTCTTTTTCTTCAAGAAACAATATTTCTTTTATAATATTCTAAGTTACAATTTTTCTTGCATGTTTTATGCTTGTATAGTATGCCATTGCATGGATATACCAAAATCTATTAACCACCTTTCTACTAATAATTTGTTTCAAATATTTTGCTTTTACAAACAATACTGCAATGAATAAACTTATACATGTCATTTTTCTATATGTGTACATACCAAAAAGTAGTTGGGAGCTCTGGTAGCGTAGTGCCTAAGGCATTTGACTGCTAACCAGAAGGCTGGCAGTTCTAACCCACCAGCCACTCCTCACAAGGAAGATTGGGTGATCTATTTCCATAGAGATACCACCTTGGAAACCCAAGGAGGGTCACTATGAGTCATGAACTCCACAGCAGTGAGTTAGGATGCACATACCAAAAACCAAACCAAACTTACTGCCATAGGGTATAATCCAACTCATAGCAACTCCCATTGAGTTTTCAAGGCAGTAAATCTTTGCGGAAGTAAATTTCCCGGTCTTCATTCCACAGAGTGGCTGGTGGTTTGAACTGTCAACCTCTGGTTAGCAGTCTAATGCCTTAGGCAATGGGCCACCAGAGCACCTTTTATGTGTACATATGTAGGATAAATTCCCAGAAATTGAATTGTTGTATCACAGGACATTAAAATTTTGATAGATATTGGTAAATTTCTGCCCATTTTGGTTACAATAATTTACGGGTGGCTAGTGCCTAAGGCACTTGACTGCTAATCAGAAGGCTGGTGGTTAAAACCCACCAGCCACTCCTTGGAAGGAAGATGGTGCAATCTACTTCCATAGTGATACTGCCTTGGAAACCCAAGGAGGGGTCGCTATGAGTCAGGTCCGACTCAATGGCACATAACAACAACACAGCAACAACAACACAACAATATATGAGAATTTCTTTTTCTTCCAACCCTACTAACACAGAATGTAATGAAACTTTTGAATCTTTGTCAACTGAAAGGTGAAAAATGGTATCTTAGTATGTATTATTTTTTAATTTTCTAATTAGGTATGGGATGGAGCATAAAGATATTCTTCAATTAACCCATAGAATGAATTTTATTTCTGCAAGTTTGTAGCTTCTCTAATTTAGCACCCGTATCTCAAATTTTAAATGTCCTGTACAAACATTAGGGTGGGTATATTTTCCTTGACTATTTTGGGGTTGGGGGTGGGAATGGAAGCCTGTGCTTCCCATAGCATTGACTATAGTGGTGTCTCACTGGCAGTGGTCAAGAAAACAACTTTGATTTCAGAGTCAAGGGCAGAAACAGATCCACAGATCATCTAATTAACTTTCTTGTCCAGAATGGATCATCACTAATTGTCCTTTCTTCTAACCTGATATATTTTAACCAGGTTTTTATGAATTTACTAAGCAGGTAATTCCACAGCTGTGCCATATTGGAGACCCTATAACCCTAAACAAAACTCACTACTGTGGAGTTAATTTCAACTCATAGCAACCCCATAGGACAGAATAGAATTGCCTCATAGGGTTTTCAGGCTGTAAATCTGTAAATCTTTACAGAAGCAGACTGAGACATCTTTTGTTTTCCCATGGAGCAGCTGGTAGGCTTGGACCACCAAACTTCTGGTCAGCAGCCAAGAACTTTAAACACTGTGCCACGAGGGCCCCCTTTTTTGGAGATTTAGTCATGTCAAATCAACATTCACCATATCGAAATATTGAGGTCCCATTAATATATATTGTAACATTTGCTCTATCTAAGCAAAAAAAGAAACAAACACTGTAACATCCTTATACATGAAGGCCATGGTCACCTCTAGGACTTCTTTTCTTTAGGCTATAAAATTATTTTATAAGTTTAACATACTGAGCTACTGAAGATAATTACTCAGTTTATAAGTTTCCTTCATATCTTAGACTATACTTTACTTGAACCCTTCAACAGCTTACCTTGAGTCTCTGTCACAGTAGAAGCTGATCTTGTATCTTCCTTTTTCTCACAGAGTGAGCTACAGTCAAGGTTACCAGAAGCCATATTCAAAATTTCTGAGCTGGAATCTACCAACAGGAAGAAACTAACAGTGTGAATACTATGCAAGAGGAGTATTTGCCTACATTATTTTCATTTGCACACATCTCAGGTCACAGAACATCAGGCTTATAGTTACAATACCAATACTCTATTTTTATTAGGAACCCTGCTGGTACAGTGACTAAAATGCTCAGCTGCTACCCGAAAGGTTGGTGTTTGAATGCATCAGCCCTTCCACAGGAGAAAGACAAGGCAGTTTGCTTACATAAAAGACTTCAGCATTGGGAACCCTATAGGGCAGTTCTACTCTGTCCTGTGGAGCTGCTATGAGTCAGAATTGACTCAACAGCATTGGGTTTAGGGGTTTTTTTTTTTTTTTCCTTTTTAAATTATTTTTATGTCTTTTTCAAATCTACTCACCACTGGAAGTTACAGTACTATCTGTAGATGAAGTGTGTCCAGGCAGTGGTAGTGTGAGATATTCCCTGCCAAAAGAGTAGAAGAAATATTTTGGAAGATCAGGTACAAAGAATTCTCTTAAAAATCAAATGAATCTGCATTAAAATTCAGGCAAACCTGGAGTGTGGAAAGTTCTCAGAACCTAAGTGTTCATCACCATTCTCCTAAAGGAAAAGAAAAAATGGAGAGAAAAAGTTCAACAACTTGACATTTTGTATTCCAAAAAGGTTGTTTTAAGCAAACATTTTTACACAACTTCAAATGAACCCATATTTACTTTGCTCTTTTAGAGAGGATATGGGATAGGATGGTATAGGGAATATTGATGTACTCACTTCTTCAAAGCAGTGTTTACCAAAAAAAAAATCCAATTTTAAGTATATTTACAAGCTTGATATTTAAAGAAAACTTGATAAATTTGGGCAAAACAAACTCTAAACTAAAAGGGCAGTAAGAGTTTCTTTCATGAACTTAAGTCGTCTCTAAAAAGAACATTCTACATGGCCACAAAACAGCATTTCTATTCATAGAAATATTCAACCTAAAACTTTTAACCTGATAAATTAAATGGAGTTTTCATTTCGTTAGACAAATCATACATTTTAATTTCAACTCATTATGTTTAAGATTTAAGGGATAAATATAAGTCAGCATCTATTACTTGGTGCTCAAACAGAGCTTAAGAAAACTGTGGTCACAGCCTGTCAGGACAAGTATCTGAAAGTCTCATTTGAACTTTTTAATCTCTATCAGGAATTCTTCATTTAGGAGGAACTTTAGGATTTCAGAGTTGATTAATTCACTTCTCTTTCAAAACATTCAGTGGAAATATAGGCATTTTTAATAAGTTTTTCTAGTAAGTTTATTTTCATAATAATTATTATTTATCTAGAAAAGTGAAGTTAAAATTTAATAAATTAAAACCAAGTGCATGCAGATATATCAAAAGCCTGCATAGACAATGCGAGAAAGGAGGTATTTAAATATTTCATAATCAAATCTAGAAGTTACTAACTAACTCTCACAACCAACAAGGAGTTCTGTGGGGGGCTGCTGTATGTCCTACAAAGTGTATGGAATCTATCCAAGGAACTATTTAGCACAGTCATGGAAAAGTAAACGTTTGACAAGAGTTTGCTGAGTTGGTAGTCACCCAGTACAATAAGAGCACCTTACACTTGTGTAGCAAATTGAAATTTTCAAAAACCCATTTTTATATAATCTCATTGAATTCTAATAACTTGATGTGATGGGTTTTAGCAAAAAAAAATTTACTTGTGTCAGGTGAGATGAAGCCAGGGATGGAAGAAATTTCCCAAGAGCACTTCGAATGGTGGAGCCAGCCTTCAAACACAGATAGGACTAAAAACTGTGTCCTTGTCACTGAAAACAGGACTGCTTTCTTGCACACCCTAACTCTAAGCCTGGCTGTCAGAAAGAAAAAGACAGCCCAACTAGTGGCTTTCACTAGTGGAAGACATAAATATAAACTTTCAAAATGTTCAACTCAAATGTTCAGAAACATCCACAATCAAATTCATAGAGCAAGAATTTACATCTAGTCCTCCGTCACGTCAAGTATATTGGTCAGTCCTCCCTCTCTTATTTTCATTTTCTCTCTGCTTTAAATGTCTTTTTAAAAGGAGCTGTGGTGCAGTGGATAAGGCATTTGGCTGCTAACCAGAAGGTCACCAATTCAAACCCACCAACTGCTCCATTGGAAGAAGATGGGACAATCTATTTCTGTAAAGATTTACAGCCTTGGGAAACTTATGGGGGTGTTATGAGTGAAAATAACTCAATGGTAGTGGATTAATTATCTTTATGTCAGAACATTTGTGATTGAAACCCCTCATGTCATTGTTTTAATTTAATTCAACAAATTTTCATCAAAGGCTCATTTTGTGCCAGGAACAGTAACAAATGCTGGAGACACAAAGATAAAGTACAGTACTAGTCCTAGAGGAGCAACCAAATCATTCGGGAAGACTAGCCTGTAAGTAAAATGCTTTATAACACAGTGGCGTACAAATGAAACTTATGTACACAGAACAAAGGTGACAAATGTATGAATTAAATTTTCAAGAAAATTACATCAGTATATGGTGGAGAAGAATTCAGGAAGTATGAATTTTTAAGATTTAAAAAAATCTTTAAATAGACTCTATTAGTAATTATTATACAAAAAGCCAAACTTACTGCCATCATCTATGGGCAAAATATTGAATGATGTAAGAAACATCAAAAGAAGATGGAAGGAATACACAGAGTCACTGTACCAAAAAGAATTGGTTGATGTTCATCCATTTCAGGAAGTGACATATGATCAAGAACCAATGGTACTGAAGGAAAAAGTCAAATCTGCACTGAAGGAAGTGGCAAAAAAGAAGGCCCCAGGAA